TGTTGATTACATTGATTAGATATTATTCCAAAAATCTGTCCCACATGGAATATGTGGTAAGTATATCACTTGGAGTTTGTCTTGGAATGATCAAAGGGAAAGAAGAAATTATTGATCAAATAATTATCAATAAGAGTGTAAGGATATGCTTCTAATGTTTGTTTGCCAGTGTGTTACAAAGAACAATCAAATAAGCCCTGCTTGTGACCATCTAAATAAAGACCAGTCCTGCTTAAACTGGTGTTCTGCTAGGATTGTTCTAAGTCATTTTCAATTGTGAATTAAAGGGACACTTTTAAGTCAACAACCACTTGGCATGCTCATTTCTTCAGCTATAGTTACTCGCGTGGACAGATAGTCTCTCTGCTTAGAACATTTTTATTATCCTTATAAAATAGAAACAATTTCATTTACCAAGGGACTGCAATCAAATCAAAAGGTATTAACGACACAATTAGCTTTAACAATGCAAGTGTGTTGGAGGTATAATTTACAGATTGGTTATTTCTTTCCCTTCATGGAGGCATTTGGCATTAATGGGGCATTTGTATTGTGAGAATTCTGCTTCCTCCTTTTTAACCCTGCTGGCCTTCTAAACAGTACCGAGACTCCCACAGACCACTGGAGTCCAGTGTTCTATTCATAAGCACCTGCCCTATTGCTTTTTAAGAGAATAAGCAGACCAGAGCTCCAACCAAAATGGAAAAGCATATTTGCTTTATTTGGAACCACTTTGAATAACAAATGTTACCAAGGGGAATGCTGTACTTTGCTCTGAATTGTGCATGTTGAGAATTTTCCCATCCAATGCCACTTCTGTTTACTTTAGCTCTGGCTATGTGGTTTGGTTTCCAAATTAAGTGTGTGGGACAAGTTGCATGCCTTGAATCCCAATGAAAAATACCTGTATTTCAAAGCAGGATGCTCATTTCTATAATCTATTCCTGGGCAGTTTTACAACCATGGTGAATACTTCTTTTCCTCCTAGCCTGTTTGGATTTAATTTGAGCAGCAACAACCAGTGCTAAGGATCTTGGGAGGGGCTGCTTTTGAAGCATCCTGATCTGGATCTTTTCTTAGAATGTGGGGAGACATTTCTGTATCCCTGTCAGTTGTTGAGATGTATAACAAGGGAGGAAACCTCACACATTCTTATCCTGAGAATCAGAGTTGAAGTACACATCTCCTGAGCTTCTCCTTCAAGGACTTTTCTATAAAAGCAACTTCTCCTTGAAAGCCCTTATCCTTTTCCAACCCTCTGTGCAGCAGCTTGACAGCTTCTGTGTGCAGCTATACACTTGTGACGGTGGCGATTGGTAGAGGTGTCACCTGCCCATTAGTCTTATGGTAATGATGGACGGCTTATTTGTTGTGTGCATATTCCTTTCCTCAGATCATTGGTAGATGCACTGATTTTGGTTAGTCATTGACCTGACAGATTGCCCTTGGTATTTTCCCCCCTTTCAATTGTACCAGTGCTTATCTCCCTGTCACAGATCACCTTAAGAACTCAGAGCTCTAGCTTTGCTTTTCTCTCGCTGGAGATCAGCTTATCCTTGACAAGTCCACAAGTCCAGATAAGAGGGTTGCTTCAAAGCTGCTCTGAATCCAGAGTTCTGTAGGTATCAGAGCAAGCGCTGGTGAATATCACTTAAAACCTGGCATTCACACTTCTGTAGTTTCCTCAGCCTCAAAGCCCAATCTTCTCCAGGTTGGCTTACACCTGAAGAGGGTTAAGTATGTTAAGTATGTCTCCTATGGACTCTGATAACCTCCTGTTAACAGTCTTTTAAGGATAGATTTTATGTCAACTTTAGGATCTTAACAGGCAAACAAAGGAAACCCATAGCTTTAAATTAATACTTGACAGAAAAATCAGTTTTCTCCTGGCTAAAGTACCTCTGGACAAAGCAGATTATAGTCTTGGTTCTATCTCCTGTAAACACAGGCATTTTTCTTTTGTTGTTATTGTTGTTTTTATCATATCTATTATCCTTCCTTCTAGGGAATTTTATTAAAATACACAGTCTTGGACAAAAGATTCTGCTTCCTGATGAGGTGGAGTGATGCTGGAGGAGGTGTGTTTTTCAGCTGAAGGCATTCCTTGTATGGTGGGTGTGAGATTCAAATAAGACAAGAGATGGCCCAACACCTGCACAAGTGTGCGGGGTCCAGGGGGTGGGGGATAAACCTGCAAAAGAGAGCCTTCAGCCAAAGCTAGAGACTTTCCTTCTAAAGCATTTATAGTGGGTCTGTAGGAATGATGGACCACCGACAGGTGGTTGCTGGTAGGAAAGTAATTAATAGTGGGACAAAAGTGGTGAGAAGAAAAGAGTCACAGTTGGAAGCAGAGAGGAAGCTGGCTAGAGTATCTTGTCAAGGCCCTAATTGGCAATAAGATTTTTGTCTGGTGCCATCCACATGAGTTTATCTAATCACACAGAGAGGGTAAAGGCACTGTTCTGGGGCCTCAAGAGACGGACACTTGGACATAGAGACCTAACAGTGGGGTCATTTGCATAGCCATAAAGGTGGTCACACTGCTCTGTTATAGAAGGAGTCTCAGACTGCTCTCCTTAGAAAAGGTCTACTTACAAGGTTAGCCCTGGGCTGGTGTCTGGGAACACAGCTGATAACTCTCCATTACACTACTGCAAGCTTTTCCCTAAATGATAAGAGTGCCAGGTGTTTAAACTGTTTGTACAAAGGACTTAGTTTGTGGAACATCTGCTTTCTTTCTGGGAGTGTGGAAGTTTGGAATATGCCAGGCAGAGGGAGCCTGCCTGACCAGTCACAGTAAAAACCAGGCATGCTGAGTGTGTAATGAAGTCCCTGGGACTAAGGCTGCATTTTTCGTTGCTGGGAGCAAAGCAGAATCTGCGTGACTCTTCATAGGAGGGTCATTGAACATAAGGAAACTCTGCTGCTGGAATCTTTCTCCTGGATGATCGCACTGTCTGTCTGTACTATCTTGCTATAATAAACCTTAGCCATGAGTACCGCTGTTTTCTGCCCTCTAGAAACTGTCCAAGCAAGTCTTTGACTGGAGGTGTGGTCTTAGGAACCTCGGAGCCTCTCATTCTTGCTATGAAGGTCCAGAAATATCATTTGATGGCATTATGTTCAAAGATGAAGAACTGTCTCATAAATTACCATGCAGCTTTCAGCTGAAACCTAATGCCTGGTTAGTTTGTGGCTCTCATTCTACTTCCCTCAAGGGGATTGCTTTATTCTGTCAAAGTTTTTCCTTTGTTGCATTATCTCTAAACTTGTTTTACAGCCAGAATCCATGACAACTTAATATCAAAAGAAGTGACAAGCTCTAATGTTACCATCAGGCAAGAGTGAACGTTACATTTTAGAAAAGGATTTGTGTTATTGTTACAGTTAGTAATATTGGCAATTGGCCCCTCAACACTAGATCCAGATAATAAAAAAAATCTCTGTATTGATTAATTTGTGAATTTAACTGAGCCGATATTTTTAAGGTATTGTTAGAAATTAAGGAAATAATGTTGAGATGATCTTGAATTTTCTTTTTTTTGAAAAGTGTTTTTTTAAAATCAAGGTGATTCATATCTAGGAATTATAGTTCACAAACTGTATAATGGTATATTTCAGTAATAATGTTTTAGCTGCTCACTACAGGCAAGTAGCTGCTATGGTAGTTGTTAAAAGTGTGAACTAAAGCCCGATTGTATGAAAGATGGAAAAAGTGAGGACAAATATATTTGACAAGTAACTATGTCTTAGAACAAGAAGCATAGGAATGCCATGCTAATTCCGTGGCATAGATAATAGTCAAGTCTTCTCAAAGAGTAACCATGACTTTAAAATGAGGTACTCTTATAGAAGTGATAAATTCCACAGGTCACTTATATTATTGAGCCAGTTAATGCTTTAGGGCTCACCAAAGTTATTCTAGTCCAATCCCTTTTCAAAGGGATTAATGCCACTATCATTTAGCAGGCCTGTGATTATACTGCTAACATTATACTGCTAATATTAATATTTTAAAATATTTCATTACATTCAAGCATTAAAGGTGGGAACATGGGATGAAATATTTCTTTGGGCAGAGAGCCATCCTTATAGAAACGTCTGAAAGCTTCCTGACTCTGACCCAACATGAGGTCTCATTAAGCCTCTATGTAGGGGGTGTAGAAGACCCAGGAAACAATGTGTTTCAGGGTCTCTGTATCTAAATCATTTCCACTGAACTAAGGGCATAGGTCTGAGTTGCTAAATAAGGAGGGATAGGAAGATCCTAGTTAGGTTGATGCGATGTAGTCAGATGCCAGAAACATAGCTGGAAAGGGAAAAGCACTCAAAGTTCTTTGGGGTAGAGGATGGAGGAGCAAAAGGGAGTCTCTTTATCTAGGTGGGGACTTGAGCTCTTCATTCAGGTTGACAGAGGCTGTCTCCTGTCCTGTCATGTTGCTCTTCATGTAATGACCACTCAGCTGGCTGGGATACACTAGTTATGCTGTTGGTGGTGTCTGTAAGGGGTTGCTGGAATAGAAACATTTCTGAAGGCAAACTTATGGATTTGCTTGTCTTCTGGCCCCACTTACCAATCCTATGAAACAGTTAGAAGCATGAGCAATTTTAACAAATAATTGAGAAATTACTGTGGACTCAAATGAACAGAAGACTATCCATCAAATTGCAAGTAGTCTCTATAAGTAGTGCCGGATCTCCCTGCACACTCAGAGATGCCCTGAAAAGCCATTCATCTGATAGTTTAAACATTACCTAATGGGAGGAGCCAAAGGAAAAGCTCACAATAAAATATAGCTTGGGCTTAAATATACATCTGAATATATATATATATATATATATGCGCACACATATATATCTTTTGATAACTGAATATATTTTTAGGTAGAAATAGAGAACTAACTGATGTAATAATATATGATATAATATGTATTTATGTATCTTAGGCACTTATGGTACCCAGGAGAAGCAGGAAAAGGTGAATAAAATGCGCAACGTACCATACTCCGGGACCTGTCCTGTGCCTCTTTTCAGCAACAGTCTGGCTCGTCTTCCTCCAGATTTGATGAGTTCTATTGCTCTGGCATGTGTCATGTCCCTTGTGCTTTCCCCATTGATTTCAATAATTTGATCTCCTACCTGTTAATTGAAGAAAAAATTAAGTCAGTCCAAAATGATTTCTCTCAGGTTACATTTCCAACAGATTAAAATAAACATCCCTGGAAAATCCATTTCCTCAGAGCAATGGAGCAGTTTGGTTGCAGTCTGCTGCTTCTTAGAAGATGCTAATCCACACCTGCACCCTGAATCTCACCACCAAATGGTAACCACTTTTTATTAGACCATGGAGGTTGTGTTGATATGTCATTCATACTTAGCTAGTATGCCAAACGCTAGAGTTAATACTTAATATTAAAAAAATAAGAAATACAACTGATACCAAAAATCAAAATCACTTGGCACTTTTGCTTGCAATCAAGAAGTAAATATTTTAAGGCCTTCTCATTGGATTTGTTGCCAGCTTTTGGCTTTGTGTAATATGTAATTCTGCATGTTGGAAGGAGTGATTGGTTTTGTGCTTCTCTGAGGATTTTTGTCATGCATCATTTAAATTTCCCTGGGTGTTATTACAATATTGCCTTCATTGTAAGCAGTGGTTGGTTGATATTCAGGTTTGATGATGAGTTTTCTATCACAATTAAAAATGAGAACCTCTATTCTCCACACATGACTAATGTCCTTGTTAAATCTTTGCCATGCCCATGTCTGGTTGCCAGAAGCTATTTAGTTAAATACCATTCCCTTCACAATTGTCAAAAATGCCTGGGCTGTATAAGTAATTCCCACTTAACCTATGTGAATAGATAGTTGGAGAAAGAGAAGTTCAACTATAAACACATCATGGAGCTTCCAGTGTGTCATTATTGTCAGAAAAACTTCAACTTAATATGTCCCTTTTTAGTGCAAGTTATTTAAGATAAATCAGCCAGGAAAGCACAATGAGTTGCTTTGCAAAAATGCTATTCTAGTTACGTCCCTTAGATCTCGGGCTAACCTCGGTACTGCAGAGAACCGTTAAGCCAAGTAGATGCTGCATGTTGGGTAAGAACTGTCCCAAAAGATTATCACAAAAGCAAGAGAGAACTGAAATAAGCCCCTCAAAGTGGGGTGGGGGGAAACCCAAATATATTTGTTGTAGCCAGGAAGTGGCATCACTACTTAAAGAGTAGGGTCCTCTCCCTTTCCAGTGCACTGAAGGTGAAGATGTCTTTGTGTACGTGGCCTTTGGAAGTACAGGTTTGGAGTGGAAGAATAGGATGGGCTCACTGGCATGAATTCCATTACCACGTAAGAACTAGATAGATGGGACTAAATTTGTTTTAGGGCCCATACCTTCCTTCAGGTTTCCTTAATTGTTCCCTTTTCTATAAGACATCAGGTATAACTTGGAGTTGAGGTTTGCCAGAGGCTATGGATCTAAGTCAGTGGTAGAATGGGACCAATTATCCTTCCCACAGTAGTCCTTATACACAACTCAAATCTCATGGCACAGTAAGTATGAATTACAGAAGTGAAACCAAAGTTTCAGTGATGTTCCATAGAGTCCTGGTTCAACTCTCTTCCGAGCTTCTGATTCAAACCTCTAAATGATTAGTGGACATCTTCACCTGGATGTCCAATAGGCAGCCCCAACTCCACAGCAGTAGTCAGAACATATACTTTTCTCCTGAAGCAGTTTTCCCACTAATTTCTAATCCTGGCTAATGGTGCCACAATCACCCAAGCGAGACCAGGGGAGTCATGTTGGATTTCTTCCATATACAACTCCTCTGCCTCTGTCTCTATCCTTACATGTATCCCACCACTTACTAGCTCCATTGGGGACTTTATGTGAATGATTCTAATAGTCTCCAGCTACTCTCCCTCCAATCTCTACTCATTATCACTAGGATTATTTTTCTAAGGGGCATCTCCTTCAATGAGTCATCTAGACCCTTCCCTTCAAATGCCACTTTCTTCTTTGCTTTCTCCTCCCAGAGGCCTGGTGATCTCCTGGCCTTTCTCAAGGCCAGCTCTCATCCTTTCTTCTGGTGGGATGTACCTTCCTCAGTCCTACCCTTTCCTGAAGCAGCACTGTCTGGTATCTGTTCATTAGTCATTGATTACACTGTGATTTATCAGTCCTTATTGGTGACGCCATGTCTTTCCTCCTAGAATTTGAGTGTATTTCTTAACTAAACACATTTCCTGCTACTTTTATTAGCATATATTAAAAGTACAATGGAGTTTCATTGCAATATTTCCATAGATGTAAAAGAAACCTATTATATACCATAGGTTCTACTAGAGATATGAAAAAATGGTATGATTTCTATGTACAATTAATTCTCAGCCTAGTTGAAAAAGAAAGCACAGGGGCTGGGAAGGTGGCTCAGTGGCAGGGCGCTTGCCTTGCATGCATGAGGCCCTGGGTTCGATTCCTCAGCACCACATAAGCAAAAAGAAAAAAGCCAGAAGTGGCACTGTGGCTCAAGTGGTAGAGTGCTAGCCTTGAGCTGAAGAGCTGAAGGACAGTGCCCAGGCCCACAGTTCAGACCCCACAACTGGACCCTCCCAAAAAAAAAGAAAAAGAAAAGAAAAAGAAAGCACATAGAGAGAATTAATATTCAATGTGCTTGGCTGGGACAGGTGTGTTTATAAAGCACTAAGGAGATGGCAGGAGAGACTTGAGATCCAGGATCGGTGGGGTTGGTGTAGTCGAGAATTACTGTTTGGAGGTGGAGTCATCTCAACTGAATTTGAAGCCTGACTACAAGCTTCCCCATTGCAGGTGAGATAAAGCATTTTAGGTGGATTGCAGTATATATACAAAGCTCCCCAAATTTAAGAGTAAGCTATCTTTGGAGAGCTATTAGTATTTCATTGGGCTATCCAAGAATTTGGACTTAATTTTTTTTTAATTTTTTATTTTTGGGTCCAGTCATGGGGCTTGAACTCTGGGCCTGGGCTCTGGGCCTAGGCGCTGTCCCTCAGCTCTTCAGCTCAAGGCTAGCGCTCTACCACTTGAACCGCAGCGCCACTTCCGGCTTTTTTCTTTTTGCTTATGTGGTGCTGAGGAATCGAACCCAGGGCCTTGTGCATGCAAGGCAAGTGCTCTACCATTGAGCCACCTTCCCAGCCCCAGCCTTAATTTGACAAGATACTGAAAACAGAAAGTAATGTGACTTTGGAAGCAGAGTGGCACTTAGATGGCTCTCAAGACATCGGGGTTGGTAATGGAATGAAGAGAAAGATAGAGAAAGGGAAGCAGGGAGCTGAGTGGGGTTGTCACATTGTCTATCCACAGGAGAAGGTGGTGAGGTGTGTGATGTGGTTGAGGGCATTGGTCCCCTTCATTGAGTAACTGGTGGGGGTGTACTGTCTGTGTGTGAGCGAATGAAGCGTTTCAACATTATCCGTTGTGAGCACCAATCAAAGCTTGCCAGCTCCACTGCCTGAAGACACCTGTGTCTTGAGACGGATGCTTCAGAACAAAATCATGTGCCAGGAGACAGAGGGCAAAGGGGATCTTAGAACTGTAACTTGCTCTCTGGTTTCATGTTTGAGTATACCCAGACTTAAGAGAATGTGATGTTTTCATTCTGTTGCATATTCATTTTCTTCTTTCTCTATGGAGCTCATGAGAAGAAAAAAGAAAGAAGCAACATGAGAGAAAAGAGAAAACTGTAGGAGATGGAACAGCGGAAGGGTCCAAGAGGTTCACAAGGGCTGAACTGGCATCTACATGTTTTGTAGATGAGGTTCTGAGAGGAAATCATGATACTATATTCACGGTACTCCCAGGAGCCCAGATTGACTTCTTCCTTTGGCAGCATTCCATAATTTCAGTTTTTCATGTAGGGTCTCCTTGGGGAGGTATCTGAGAATAACTCAGATACCAGTTGATGGAGAGTCCTTCTCCTCTCATCTAAGAGTCTTCAATCTCTTGCAAGCCCCTTCCCCACTGCAGGGAAGTGGTGTAAGGAAGTCTGCTGGTTTCTATTCTTATTGGGAGCAATGTAAATGTGAGAGTCATCCAAGATATTACTAAGTTCAGAAAAAAACATAGAAGGTGTTTTGGGCATTAAAATAAGTGTTCCAACTCATTGGAGCTATTTTCAATAGTAACAAATGCAGTCTAGGCCCAGCCTTCGGTCTTCTTTCTCGCCTGTGATAACATAAACAGTAAAAAGGTTTAACTTTCGTCTTCAGGCTTAGGTATAATCATCTTAGCTGGAACTTGCTGAATAAATTTGGGATGAGACTTCTTTCACTTTCATCCTCTCAGTACTGCATATGTAAGAGGATGGATTTTCAGGGGGAGACGAGGTTCTCTTGTTACCTCCTGAGCTCACCTGACTCCACTGAAGCTGCCACTGGTGGCCAAGAGCATCACTTTCTGTATCATAATGGGGAAATCGACAAAATGAATGGCCAAGATTAACAGCCCTCACAGGATAGAGAAAAATGACCTATTGGGAGTCTGATGTACTCTTTCCTACTTCAGAGGGGAAAATTATGTTACAGTTAAAATTAATAGATGAGGTGGGGGATGGAAAGGAACAGGAGAGAGGGAGGGGAGAGAGAGATAGAGAGATAGACAGAGACAGAGTAAGAGACAGAAAGAGAGAGAAAGAGAAAGAGAAAAAGAGACAAAGGAGGCTGAGATCTGAGGATTGTGATCTGAAGCCAGCCCAGGCAGGAAAGTCTGTGATACTATTATCTCTAATTAAGCACTAAGAAAGCTGGAAGTGGGGCTGTGGCTCAAGTGGTAAAACACTAGCCTTGAGTAAAAGAGGGCTCAGGGATAGCATTCAGGCCCTGAGTTCAAGCCCCAGGATTGGCCCCCCAAAACCTCCATGTCTTGCAGCCTAAGGTGGTGAATGTCCTTTTGGCACAGCCTGTAAGTTTTGCATTTGTACTCAATTTCCAGTTCACATATCACAGAGGAGTTTCCTTTAACCCAAACTTAACAAATCCTTGAAGTTGCTTAAAGTGTTACAGATTGAAAAATATTTTCTGTTTTTATAGGAAGAGCAAAGCAGCTAAAGGCAAGTGTTGAGTTGTTCTCAATAATTCAGGTGGCAAAATTTGGTACT